GCTCCAGGTATGTAATGCAACCACTGAAGATGTTAGACAATGTTATTTTGCTATATTGTGTTTAAAAGTTTGATAAATACTCTCCCCTGTTAACTTTAAGTGAGTTTCACTCACTACTATTAAACATTTTGCATCCAGAAGTACATTTCATTAAAATAAATCTAAAAAATAGAACATCCAGTTCTTTTCTCGTCCCGAGAAACATAACGCTATGCAGACACAAATAGGCTATTCATTATCAGCACATATGTTATGTGATCTTGAGCCACATCACATCAGTTTGTACATGATAGGAAAAATGTATGATTCATAAATCATGACATTTGTGCATAATTTTCACAATTAATATAGCATTAAATACTACAATACGTTTTGAATAAATACAGACAATGTGTATGATAAATAGATTGTCTGCTTTCCAATAGCGCCCCCTAATGACAAATGAGAAATCATTCTGCAGACTGTTTCAAAAATTGCGATAAATAATGCTCGGTTAATTCATCAACTGTAGTTAGTTCGTTTTGGCATCCACCGTAAGAAGCTTAAATCCTTGAACAAATCTTATAAATTCTTCGGACTCTATTTTTATTCATCTTAAAGTAAAACGGGGCTGTGGAATTTAGATCTAAGCTCATACATTTTCCAGTCACTGATACCCTTTACCCTAAATTTCTACCTGCCATGGTTTTAATAAAGAAACATATTTCTGAAGACGTAGCTTGGCCTTGTTTTACCTTTCCGCTGAATGTCAGTGTCTTGTCAGTTTCTTGGATGAGGAAAAGAGACGACATATCCAACACGGCAATGAATCACTTCCTCAGAGATAGCTTTACAAGAATTAGGCAGTTCTCCCTTACACAACATTCCTAATGGGGCTCTGGGTCCTGCAGCAACACCACTATTGTATCTAAAGCTGCCTCTAGCTGAGAAACATCAACTATATATAAATATAAATGCAGTTAAAGTCTTTGAGAAAATCGTGTAAAGAGGTCACCTTGCTATAGGTAAAATCACTCCCTATCTGGGGCAAGAAGCCCTGTACTAGCTGTCAGATTTTTTTAATGATCATATTTAATATTTAATTTATTTAGACATTTTTAAAAATGTATTAATGTAAAATAATAATTTATATATCAGTCAAATATAGACTAATAATAATAATAATGACAACAACAACAACAACAGCAATTAGATAATAAAAGAAAAAATATGAACTAATCACAATGTTTCAAATAAATGTCTTAAATGTTGATGATCAGAATTATTTGGTTATGTTGCAGGGGGTGTCTTGCTTCATCTTCCCCTAATGCATTTCTAAACTTCTATAACTTGAAATAGTTTATTCTATATTTTATTTTATTGTATTTTATAATAATAATAATAACAACAACAACAACAACAACATTTACTTCCCTCCACACTAAACATGTATTTATTTATTTCAGGTTTATTTGACAGGGTCAATGCACATCAATAATACAAAAATGTACAATGTGCCAGAATTAGCCAAAAGGCTATTTTACATCTGCAGTCCCTGGACTCATGATACAATTGTCACCCTAAAAATATTAAAGAAATAAACTATACATGATACATTCATAATACATACATACTCCAATATACAAATAAAGATTACACTATACATAATACAGTTCTATCCAACTACTTACAACCAATACTTGGAGTTAATGGAGTTTCTTTAATATTTTATTTTATTTTATTTTAACCTGCCTCCTTCCGCATAAAAAAACAATTATTTAACTATTGGTTGGAGTTAATGCAGTGTTGGTGAGACCAGTGGCAGAATTTATGGTCAGTATATGGTCCATATGGTCTGCATTTGGTCCAGATCACATGCACACCACTGTGTGTAAATCTGTGTAAATATCCAATAAAACCTCAAGCAGCGTTTTATAAATAGGACTTCGGGGGTCAAACATGACGCATACGGACCTCCAGAGTCCACAGAGAGCTTGATGAAAAACACCACAACTCCCGTGACCTAGTGTTATCATCCAAACAACATAATGTGACGTGTTGGTGAACATACTGTATAATAGGTTCACAAATGTTGATCATTATAAACTTCATATTAATGCACAGCTTTAATAATATAATGTGAATTTAATGCACATCTTTCAAAGCGTGCTTGTTTATAGTCCCTAAACTTGGATCCTTCATGCTGCTGAACTTTAAGGGCACTGTTGTGACAGTATACAAAGAGTTATAGTGCAATAACTTTCTCTTTCCTCAGGGGGTTTATGTGAATTCCTGTTTTATGTATTATACCGTACATGCACTGAGATATAGTGCAGCCATATGCTTTGGTTTAGTTTGACAGTGCTGTGATGTCATGCTTACAGTGATGTCATATACTTTGAATCTATTTTATTGTATGTTTTTAGATCTCACCCTTCACATATCGATGTGTACTGTAATTAATTAGCACTTGTGTAAGTGTCACATGTGTGCAAACAAATATGATTTTCCAGCTTGTTCTCATGTAAGTTGTTTTGTCTGTGGGAAATACTCTATATTGTGCTGTTCAGCTGGTTGGCGGAAGGCGTTACTAATGTTAAACACAAGGCCTTTCAAATGTGAAGTAATGCATGAAGCAGATGTAGTGTTATGCACCTTAAGAGCTTCATGAGGCTGGCCAAATATCTGTCTGACTGTCTCAAAATCTCAAGTGCTCTATACTTTCCCTTCTTTTTATCTTTGGAAAAACACAGACAGAGCTTTTCTCACATTGAATTTTACATACCTCCTGCTCCAGGTGTTTTCCAGTGTACTGTACAACACATAACTAAACATGGACTGAACGGCCTCAAACACCCTTTGTCACAGCTTTTATTAAATATACAGCTTCAGCGCCCTCTGTTGATCAATGACTTACAGTATATTGTAATATTGTGGTTTATATCAGCGTGTGTTGGATATTTAATTGTGCAAGCTCATATTTAATTATTTTTACATGCATGGTGATCTTTACCGTTATCTAATGCTTACTTAATTAATCATTAAAATCACTAATTTAATAACAACAATTACAATTAAACGTTATCTTTAGTAAATAAAAAATATTCATTTTTGGACTGTAATGTTGTGATGCCTGATTGTTTTTTATTTACATTTATTTATTTCGAAAAAGTATAGACATACATCAGCTATAACATAAAAATAATTATTGGCTTTTCAGTCAAATTTTTAATTTTTGTGCACACCTAAATTCATCCTGAATTTAGGTGTTTCCTTAAAAAAAGAAAAAAAAAGAAAAAAAAAAGTATTTAAAAAGTCCTACGAAACCCAATTTCATCTTCTTCCTTGTAACAAGGTGCTTGAAATCAATCATGGACATGTATCAATAGTGTGTGAAGAATTATCTTCATACCTAAAACTGCCTGGTATTAATTGGTTCAATGAAACACAAAGGTTTGAGTGCCAAAGCAAATAATACTTTTCATAGCCTACACTGCTCTTAATTAGATGGGATGGGAAAACATTTCAAAAATAAATTGCCTACAAAGAAAACCAGCTTTTAGATAGGCCTATTGATTCAATTAACTATAAAGGAGAGAAAACATGCTCTGAAATTTATAGGCATTTCAAATGCTGCAGCAAATTCCTCACTGTATAAATTAAAACCTTCTTACAATAACTCCATGTGCCGACTACAAAATTTATGATTTATAAATATGAGAATTAAAACGTCACATGCTGATTTAGAGGTTGATTTATAAAGATACGCCTGGTTTACATTGAGATTAATCACTGGTTAGCTTCATCCTGTTAACGTTTACTCTGAACATGTTGCCTTATGCTCGTTTTAGACATTTTAACCTTAAAAAGGTCCCCTGAAATGCTTAGAAACACGCAGCTTCTATGTGTTGACATCATTTAAACTGAAACAGGAAGACAGGGCGGGACATATCAAGCAGCCCCGCCCCCTTTTAAAATAGCCAATAGCATTCGTTTATATCACAGCTTGGGCTAGCCTAGAGCCGTTCAAAGCCGTTGAGTTCCGTAAAGCTGCATTTGACAGGGTATGCCAGCCACAATCTCATCCATATTGCTATAAAATATAGCATTGTGTGTAGAATTCAAATAGCTCCGATACATTTTGTGGTCTGCGCCGACTCGCGCATGTGATCCGCTCCGTGCTATCGTGTCTCTGGACCGGAGCAGAGTGTGTGTGCGGTGCGATGGTTAGCGTGACACAGCGCGAAACCAGACTTCTTTTTTTCCTCAATCGAAAGCATATTTAAACTGTTTGAATCGTTCCCTGTCCCCTATAAAGTGCACTACGTGCCATTCACTGTACAGAAAATACTAATTCTGTGGACAAGTGACCGATTTCAGCCGCGGCTTCAGCGTCTATTTTATAGTGTAGGGGCGGCCGCTTCGGATTCTAGAGAGCATTTGATTGGACAAAGTTTGATGAGAAGCTGAAGTACGATGTGACGATGTTTTGGCGGAAGTGACGAACTGCAAGCTTTGAATGCTTATATCTTCTAAATGCGAATTTTGTCACTGTGTTGGGCACACTGCCTTATAAATAACCTTAAGACTAACATATTGATACTAACACCCAAAAAAACTTTAATTTTGATTTCATGGGGACTTTAAATGGCTAAAAATAGTGTTTTATCGTTCATCAGCTGGAAAAAATCGTTTTGAAAGTGATTCCAACGATATCGTTTCTCTTTGTCTTTATCGTTATAGTTGTGGTGTGGACTCTGCTATTCTTTAATACTGAGAACGATTTTTAGAACTATATCTTTATCGTTATCTTTATAGTTATCGTCCTTGGTGTGAACGGGCCTTAACATATTGATACTAACACCCAAAAAACTTTAATTTTGATTTCATGGGGACTTTAAATGTTAATGAAAAAAATGTCAACTAGGCTACATCTGTTCAGCAAATTCCTCTAACCAATCATAAACCTCAAAAAGCAACACGTGACTAAACGCGGAAGCGCATATGTAGTGGACGAGCTGCAATCTAGGCTTTAAAAAACGTCTTTATTGGATCACGTAATAGACACGCACGAGTCCAGCAGCAGCTCAGCTGTCAGAGAGCTGAAGCTGTTCAACAAGCCCGGAATAACGCGGAACACACATTAAACTCCATATTTCATTTCATTTATCACATCTCCTGGTGAGTTTCCAAATGGAAATGTTTTGTTAACTGCTTTGAATACAACAGATGAGAGGTGGAGGTTAATATGTGGGCTTTTTGAAAGGGTGTTAGCCAGTAACACTTTCATTATGTTGGATAGTTGTTTTAATACTTAATAAGATACTTGTGTTTCAAGATTCACTAGATAAACTACCATCTAGGCCTCTTTTTCAAGTCTGAATGTCACTTCGCAATGTTAAGCAGGTGTTTACTTTGTAAATCCTCATGCATGACACGCTCGTGGTCAGTATAAACTGGTCCAATGCTAATAGGCCAAAAAAAGTCATTTAGCTTAATTTCTCAGAATACGCATAATAATTGAAGTTCTTCTGTAGAAAAATACTACAGTATATTGGTACCATGGTACTGTAATGACGCCAGATGGTAATACAGTCAGTGGTACTCTGATATTATATGCTATGGTACTGAAATTCATGTTTCATTGTATTTACTTTTAAAAAGAGTACTTAATATGCTTTAAAAGAATATACTTAAGTGTTAAATTTAAATACAATGCAATCAGTTGAACTTAAGAGTTCTTTTTTGGCATAAGAAGGACTTGAGTACATTTTTGTATGTAATTTCATGAGTTCTTCCATTGTCTTTGAAATATGGTTAAAGTATGTTGAATATACTGACAATTTATGGTAAACTCAAATGTACTTTAATGCCATGAATGTTTAAACTTGTATGTCATGTATTCAAATATTTACGTAATTACGCATTTGAACGGATTCAGCTCTAGTTTAGTACATTTAAATATATTTATTTTAATGTATTATTGAACACACTAATTAAAATTTAAATTAAGTATGTGATTTAGTCAACACGTTCAAATAAGTGTATTTCTTTAAAGCATGACAAAAGAATATTAAAATGTACTTTTTTATTATCAGTTTTATTACATTATCTGCAAGTATAATTTAAAAATATACTTTGAAGATTTGAAATCCACTACAAGTGAATATTCATATTCAATACAATTAAGCACGCTTCTTTTTCACGAGGGTACACATGCACATGCAAGTTATTCCAACAACAAAAAGACTTGGTAATATTTTTGGTAATATTTAAACAAAATGTGATAACTTTTTATTTCACAAACAATCTTTCCATTTCCCCCCAAAAAACGAAATTGTAGAAGTAAAATTGACAGATCTTGTAATATAAGAAAGGCAAGGAAGTCATGTGACATAGAGGCAGTTATGTAGCATTAAAACACATGGAGTTGACAACATTCCTGACTTCTTCTTTCAGTTATGGAGCAAGTGAAGCAGGAGGCCTTTGATAACGCCAGGCTGCAGGTGATCAAAGATGGGTACGAGAAGGCATTCGCATGCATCAATAAAGCTCTCACAGAGGATGAGGCGGGCCACAGTGCAGAGGCGCTAAAACTGTACCGACAAGGGCGGCAGCACCTCCTCAGGGCTCTCAGTGTTCCCTCACAGGGTATGGAGTGTGTGGGTTCCTCCTGGGAATCAGCTAGACAGATGCAGCGCAAGATGCAGGAGACTCTCAACAACATCACCACTCGCTTAGCCATGCTGGAAACCAGCCCAGACCTCAACGAAGTCTCGGATAGCAGCGCAGCCCCTCAGAAACTCTACCCTGAAGTCCCGAAGGTCAAGCCGGAGAGGCTGACTCCACCACAGACGCTCGCTTCCAACGGCGGGGTTGCAGGGGCTTCGGGTGGGCCAGTTCCGGTCTCTCCCTCAGTGCAGCCCAATATGTTAAGCGACCAGCCTCCTGCATACACCCCTCGAGCCACTGACGGACACCTGACCATTTCCTACGGCACTGACTCGGGCGAACTCTCCCTGGTTGGCGATGAGTTCTACAGCAATACGTCTAATTCTGCACCTTCTCCTCCGTGTCTGGGGGAGGATGGAGAGGAACTCTTTTTCCTTCCTCAAGGGGTGCAGATCTTCTTCGTTACACCTGAGGGGCAAGTCAGTGCTCCCTCTTATCCAGGGTACCTGCGCATCGTAAAGTTCACCAGTGAGCAATCAGAAAGGATTCCAAACAGGCCACCTGCCTTCCTACAGGTGAGAAATCAAAAGCTGTGTTATTCAGTTATTCTTCATATGCCTGAAAGAGAGAATCTCACAAAGAAATGTCCAGCTTGTTCATATTCAACA